CCCACTGCCAAGGTCCAATCAAGGGACCGTACATTGTTCTACCTCCACTGAGTGTATTCGACCCAGGACCGCGTCCTCAACGTCGTACAACTAACGCCACCACCTATGCTTCGACAACCGCAAGATCCAGCGGTCCAGCGGGAGCACCCACACAAAAGCCTGCCGGACGACCGACTACACAATTACCAGTCAGAGCCATGGAACAATTCGAATAAACCCCTGTCGCCCCAGATCTATCTGACAAAGAGATTGCGCGTTACGAAGAAGCGGACCGAATCTTGATTGCACACATGGAAGAAGAAGCTTCAGGGTGCGTAGAAGATCAGTCTCGCACTAAGTCCATCATCCTGCGATTGATGATTAATGGTACCCCTCTCCGTGCGCTCATTGACTCAGCAGCCGAAGCCAACTTGATGTCGGAAGCAACAGCAAATCGTGCAAAAATACCTCGTAGAAAGCTGGTGTCACCTGTCGAAGTGAGCCTTGCGATTTCTACCAACACCACACCTTATGTCATCAAGGAGTTTTCTTTTGCTAATGTCAGTTCCGATGATCCAAAGTTGCGCTTTGGGTCAACGTTCTTCAAGATTGCACCATTGGGCACCTCATACGACGTGATTCTTGGTACACCTTTCCTCACTAAATTTCACTTAGATGTCTCCTTGCATAACCGTTCTGTGACACATGTACCTACCAAGACAGTCCTATTGGAAGAAACTACAAAGAACGAAATTACTAATGCAATGACCAAATCAATGATATCATGTGTTATTCAAAATCTTGAAAGAGTTGAGAAAAGCCGAGACCTGTCCGCCCGAGAAGAGCAAGTATTGCGTGAATTTTCAAACTTGTTTCCTGATGAATTGCCGGCTGTCGATGATGATGAACAGGATGATTTTATTCCGCCTGAAGGGCAGAATGCTTCCTCAAAAGTCAGACACAAGATTGTTTTGACAGACTCAAATGTGACAATCAATGAAAAACAATATAACTATCCGCAGAAGTACTTACCTGCGTGGAATAAACTCATTCAGCAACACCTAAAGGCAGGAAGAATTCGAAAATCAACCAGTCAATACGCGTCACCTTCAATGATCATTCCAAAGAAGGATCCTAACGCATTGCCAAGGTGGGTGTGTGATTATAGAACTTTAAACAAATACACGGTAAAAGATAGAAGTCCACTCCCTAATGTTGATGAGTCAGTTAGGCTAGTGAGTACGGGGAAAATATTTTCAATAATCAATCAAATCAATTCATTCTTTCAAACTCGAATGCGTGAGGAGGATATACCACTGACAGCAGTTAAGACTCCATTTGGACTCTTCGAGTGGACAGTCATGGCAATGGGCCTGACAAATGGACCTGCAACACATCAAAGTCGTGTAGAAGAAGCGCTAGGCGACATCATTGGCACATATTGTGTTGTGTATATTGATGACGTGGTAGTTTTCTCTAAGACAGTTGAAGAACACGAGTTGCATGTAAGGGAAGTTTTACGACGATTACAAGCCGCAAAACTATACTGTTCACCGTCAAAGAGCAAACTTTTCAGAACCAAAATAAACTTCTTAGGACATGAGATCAGCGGAGATGGAGTATGCCCAGATGACGCCAAAGTCAAGAAATTAGCAAAATGGAAGACACCATCAATGCAGAAGCAGTTGCTCAAATTCTTAGGCACTGTGCAATTCCTGAAAAAATTTATTGACGGATTATCTCATTATGTGGGCACTCTTTCTCCTCTGACAAGTACGAAACGAAAGAACGAACCATTCCAGTGGGGATCAAAGGAGGAAGACGCATTCCAAAACATCAAACAAATAATCACTACGCTTCCAGTCCTCAAACAACTTGATTACGAAACTGATGATCCACTCTGGTTATTCACAGATGCCAGTGGTCATGGCTTAGGAGCAGCCTTGTTTCAAGGCGCTAAATGGGACACCTCTTCACCCATCGCATACGAAAGCAGAACAATGACGCCTGCTGAACGTAACTATCCGGTACACGAGCAGGAATTATTGGCGGTTGTGAATGCGTTACAGAAGTGGAAATTATTACTCTTGGGCATGAAGATCAATGTCATGTCTGATCATCACTCCCTCACGCATCTATTGACGCAACGAAACATTAGCCGGAGACAAGCAAGATGGCTCGAAACACTATCTCAATTTGACCTCGACTTCAATTACATCAAGGGTGAAGAGAACTCTGTGGCAGATGCACTATCCAGAGCAGATGAAGTAGCCGCGTTACAAATGGACGGATCATTGGATGAGACAACCTTAAACACGATCAAAGCTGGCTATGAAACCGACAACTTCTGCAAACGCGTCAACAAAACATTACCGTTACGAGAAGGCACTGAATGGCGTGAGAATCTGATGTTCATTGACGGCAGACTAGTGATCCCCGAAGTCAGAGGGTTACGTAGACAACTTATTGAACGAACTCATTTGGCTTTGGGACATCTAGGCACTCTGAAGACTCTAGCGCAAGTACGTGGGCAATTCTTCTGGCCTGAGATGGCAAACGACGTCAAATCATTAATATCAACATGCGATAGCTGTCAGAGATCTAAAAGCCGTACGACACTGCCTTCAGGGAGACTACAAGCTACCGACGTGCCACGCTTACCAATGGACGACATATGTCTTGACTTCATTGGTCCCTTTCCAAAGGTCAGAGGATACGATATGATCCTCTCGTGCACGTGTCGACTGACAGGCTTTGTGCGTGCTATTCCAACACGTCAAACAGATACTGCAGAACAAACAGCCCAGCGTCTTTTTGGTTCCTGGTTAGCAATATTTGGCGCACCAAGGAGTATGATAGGCGACAGGGACAAAGCCTGGACATCGCGATTTTGGCAAGAACTCAATTCATTGATGAAAATCAAAGTCAACCTCACAACAGCTTACCACCCACAGGCAGACGGACGAAGCGAAAAATCAAACAAAACAATTGTACAAATCTTACGACAAATGGTCACCAGTCGGCACGGACGCTGGCTTACCTCATTACCCTCAGTCGAGTTTGCTATCAACAGTGCATTGAACGTCGCCACGGGCGTCTCACCCTTCGAGTTTGTTTTTGGCCGCAAGCCTCGACTGTTCCCAGTTACAGGAAACTTACAATCGGTGGGCTCAGACACATCAAAATGGATTGAGGATCGACAAGCAGCTTGGGCGCAGTACCGTGACAAATTATGGACCAGTAGGATCACCCAAGCAGTACACTATAACAATCGACACGCTAACGGTGAAGTACTGGAGGTGGGTGACTGGGTACTAATCGATAGCAAGGATCGACAGCAAGTAGTTGGTGGGAACGGTAGACCAACATCGAAACTACGACCCCGCTATGACGGTCCCTACAAAGTCAAGGAAGCCCTGAATGGCGGCCGCAATTTCCGACTGAAGCTTAACGACAATGATAAATCCCACGACGTCTTTCACATATCGAAGCTGAAGAGGTACCATTGGAGGGAGGAGGAGTGCGATACAGAGGTATCAAAGTAAGTTCCTCCCATAAGTATGCACCGCCGGGCAACTACGCCAATAAATTGTGTATAAAACATTACCTTGGCCACACATGTGAGCACCGAACTGGGCGTATGGCATGTTTTATTCATAACAGGTTCAATTCAAGCAAACGAACATCAAAACTGCAACATGTACTGCAAGATCTTCAAGATTCCTCAAGTTTTATTATTTTCATATCATTTTTATAAGTACGAATTAATCAACAACATCTTCAATTGGGTAAACATGGTGGATAATATTTAGGTTTCTTTTTTTTATTCTTTTCAATTTTTTCATTTCCTTTTGAATTCATTTTTTTTCTTATTTTAATCTTTACGACAAAATCAATTACTTTCACGTTATTCAACAAACTTTCATTGCATTGGGACGAGTCATGGTCAACTTTTCAAGGGCGAGTCATGCCATTTTTTTTTCAATTTTCTCTTTCTTTCTTCGGTTAAATTTTTTAGAATGGGTCAGATTATCATAGAGGATGAGTAGTTACAAAATTCTTTTTCATAGGAGGGGAGGGATGTAAGGTGTTACATGTAGAGGTATGGCTTAGATGTATGGTTGTAGACGGGTAGTTGGATTACTTGTAGTCAGAGACGCCCTAGCTCCATGAAGACTCTTCTTCACCGAATACTCTTCGGATGGAGCTAGGTGAGCCTTTATCTTATATTCATTTCTCTCTGTCTCTTTTCTCTTTTATCTTGTAGAGCGTATCTGATGTGTTACTCTTCTTGACCGAATACTCTTTGGATGGAGCTAGTTGTCTATTTTGGGAATATAGTTGGGTTATAGAATTAACCTTGGAGCTTTAGCTCCCGTCGTGCCACCCTTCAGTGAAGACTCCTACCCGAGTCTTACACCTTCAAGATTCTTGTGTGTAAAACAGTCGAGTGTAAAGCGATGAGTGTAAAAGTGTATGAGACCTACTTCGAGATAGAATTTTACACATGACTTTTTGCATACCTTATTGTAGGCAAAAAAACTAGGGTGTAAAAATGAATTTTAGATGCCTGTGGTCTAGTTTTGCACTCCGGGACGTTACACACAATAAGGAGTCAATATGCCCGGAGGGCAAAAATCAATTACGCTCCCCTGGACATGCAAATTTACACGCGTCCAAGTCTCAAAAAACTTTGGACTTGGCAAAAATTGGCCAATATGTCTGCCTAGGTCCGCCTGCTACGTGAAGCCAATACGGCGTCGGCGGCCTCTGTTTTCTTTCTTCTCTCACCAGCGCCACATTGCCCCAATCTCACAAAATCTCACAAGCTCAGCATAGAGCTAAGCAGGTAGTCCACCGCTTAATTGGCCAATGTGCATTACATCCAGGCCCCCATACATAAAACAAAAACAAAGACCAAGAAGGAAAAAAAAGATGACTCCTGTGCTTACCTTCACATTCATTATCATCACAAATTCTTTGAAAAAACACAAACATAACAAAAATTACACAAGCTCGAGTCATTTCTTCTTTCTCCCTTTAAGCTTAGGCTTGGCCTTTCCCTTTTCCTCAAGATCTTCCTCCTTGACCGCCTGTAAAGCTTTCTTATCTTTGGCCGCACCCTTCTTGACCTTTGGAACTTTCTGAGGTGACGGAGACTGAGATTTCGGGCGCTTGTTAACACGAAGGCGGACATTCAACGGCCCCTTCACGTTGGCTTTCGGTTCTTCGGGCAGGGAAGCTGGAACAGGATCGTTATCCTCCTTGCCCTCCTCCCTTCTCATAACAGACGGCGGAGCTGAAGACGACGGACCTGAGAACCCCAAGATGTCAGTATGACATAACCCCGAAATAGTAAGGAACAGGGAGGGACCTACAGTTTTGAGCCCGAATAAACGCCTGTTTGGCCTTGTCACTGTGAGAAACAGCTTGCGAGCCAACGGTAGGAACCGTTGTTTCCAATTCCTCCAGCTCTTCAACAGCTGGAGACGCTGCCAAATAAGTCGAAACCATCAGCTTGATGGTTTCAGCATGAGACCACATAAGAAAGACCGACTCATAACTTACCAGCTGATGTAAAAGCGACCTTGGCGACGTGAGATGAGGGCTGACTGGTGCCCACGCCGCTCGCCAACGTCTTCAAAGGAGCATCCAATTCAGGCAGGTCTGGCAAATCCTCCTCGATCTCCTCGACGTCGTCCAAATCCGGTTGCGAAACAAAAGGTAAATCTCCTTGAGCGTCTGGATTCTTCGACGTGATCTTGGCTATGCCAAGATCGATGATTTTCTGTTCGCTAGAGGTAGGCTTGCGAGAATAGATGAGCCAACTGGTTGACGGTTGAGCCCCCGAGATTGACGAGAGATCTCGACCTAGAAGCTGAGCACGGCCATCGTCCTTTCGGTCGTCATAAAACCACACCCCACGAACCCCATCTACATACCTCACCACTTTACTCCAGTAATGATGGTAACCCCAAAAACCCCTTGAGACTATTTCGTAGGAGACATCGTTGAGAACCAAAGTGGCAGGCCAGTCCATCTCCCCCATGAAGCTGATACGATCTTCTTCGGTTAGACCAGCCACACCTCGAAGGTGGAAGTAGACGTTCATCGGTTGCCCAGTGAAATCCAAACGGGATCGTTCGTACAAGCGAGGGATATCGTCACCTTCGTTCAGCTTCCCAACGGTGACTCTATCACTCCCTTCATCTACATCCGCGTCCGTCGAAGTCGAGTTCCGGTCTGTGCAACAGGTCGTGCAGCATCGAAGGTTGTTGGAGAAGAGACCTTCTCCACTCCAAAGTGTGATAAGCTTGGCAACTTCGGAATATCGCAGATTGGCATCGTGAAAGAGGTTATTGGTGATCGCCACTGTGGCTCTAACGGACGTTTCGTTCTCTTCATGTGAGGAGATAGCTGTGCATTGATAGTCTCGTACTAACTTGTAAGCGAAAAGACGTCCGGCGGATGTTGGGCGATTGCGTTTAGACATGAGGAGGTACTCCAAGAATAAGTCGGCAGAACAGAAGGCGTCGGTTACAAATGAGTCAGGAGAAATGATTTGGACCGCCGTTTGAACTGATTTGAGACCCCGGGTTAAGACAGACTTGATGTGCATGGATCGATGCATTTCGGCAGAAAGTCTTGAAGAGTAATGTCGTATCAACTTGGATGTGATATCCTTACCTTTGCCCTTCGATCCCTCAATCCAAAGAGGCGAAAAGGTTGGGTATAAGGCCTCCAAGGTTGATGTTTCCCAACATCAATTGAGCTTACCGGGTTCGGTGCTTGCCGTGTAGGACTGATAGGAAGAATGGGGATCGCGATTGACATTGCTGGATCCGGTGGGTCGGCCCAGTTTCTTCGGGCGAATCAAAGCTTCGGTCGTATCAGGAGGTCGACCGACGTTGACTTCTGGGCGTCTGCGAGTTCGTTCTTTTGACCAACCCATGGTCTCAACGACGGATTCCCAACTGTTGCCGTACTTCACCGAGATCCCTCGGAGTACGTTGTTGAAGTCCCTCTTGAGGGACTCAGCGAAGAGGAGCAACTGAATGAATCCTTGGATAATCGTACAGTGACCAGACCTGTAGGATCAGAAACAGGACAAGCGTCAGTAGGGAATTTCCGGCATAATGAGAAGACAAAAACTTACGTGAGAATGTAATATTGGCAATGCATGGACTCCTGACCATTAGTGGTATCCGGATAGTCGTGCGGGTCCTCGCCTTCTGGCAGAGGAGGATCGTCCATGGGGAGGCGGTCCCGGGCGCAGAACAGCATGCTGTGTATATCAGCAGTGTTCCACCAGTCGATCCAGGGCTTGGCTTTAGGAAATAGTCGAGCGATTTGAGCAAATTTGTCGGTGAGAGTCAGGTCGCCGGGTTTATTGGGTTCGAGGAGATCCAGAGCAAGGCTTTCGAACTCAGCCTAAGGATGCAGATGCGTGAGCAGCGTCAGTATGAAGCACATACGTCGTGGAGGTAGAACCGTGTTACAACTTACCAATCGGCCCGCGGCAACAACATTGCAATTCTTCTTGAACCGAGTTATTGACTGTCGGTAATGTTCATGGCAGCCTTTGAGTTTGCTCAAGGCTTTGCCGGGGTCGTTTTCGTGGAAGACTTCCATGTAAGCAGATACAAAACCTTTCTTTTGCGCGGTGGAAAAGTCCACCACCTGTTGGACCAGGAGATCCCGTTCGTGGTAAGTCAAGTCGGCGGCATTGATCTGCGCAAGCAGAGTCAAGAAGTGCGCCTTGTAGTGCGCCTCTTCCAGGCCCCACATCCACGTGAGTTGGATGGGAATCCAACGGTGGAGTATCTCGCTATACATCGATGTCGTAAGAAGGTACCCGTGGTGAAAGAATCGATAGGTGACATCCGAAAGGAGTCCACCGGAATACACCTTACCCAAGGTGTCGCGACGGACCAGCTGGTCAGCCATCCAGTCCGTTTGGAAGGTAATGTGCACGTTTGCACCCAGGAGAGAGGTTGATATCAATCGAAGGCCGTGACTAAAATGCAAATGAAGAGATCAGCAAAATGTGGCTTTCAGCGACAAGCTCGGGAGTGTGTTTGGTGAAATACAAGAGATACGTACTTTCCCCAATGCATCAAGTCCATAATGAGGCGGTCACCTCCGCCTTTGCTTTCTTTTTCAGGGATCAGACCCTTTTCGACCAAGACCTTTCAACGTAAGTACACCAATTGCCCACCGTTGGCAAACGCAGGATGTATATCCACGACCGGAGGTGTAATCGTCTGACCAGCGCCAGCCTGGCTAACCTACACAGCATGACATGGGGAGGAAAGATCGCCAGGAACTCAAGTCAGTAACGAGTTGAGTTGCCGAACCTCGAGTCGAAAGACTCACCTTAAGGACCAAGGGTCCGGCCTTCGGGTTTTTCACCACCTCCTGCGTGAGGTCCAACATCGCCAAGGGGTCGGCCTTTTTCGAGGCAGGCCAGGGGTGAGCGTGGAAACCGGAATGGCGAAGGACGCCCCAACCGGTGTCCTTCTGGATGTCAATTCGACAGACGGTGCCGGGACATTGGGTCCAGATATGGGTTCCGCTACACTCAACTGCCGGGCACACTGGGTTCCTAGAGACACGTGAGAAGTAGAAGTAGAACAAAAAAGAGTCAGTTCGTTTTGAGTGGAATTGAGAAAAAAAAAAGTGGAATTGAGAAAAAAAAAAGTACATACTCCTTGATGTACTCAGCAGCCTTTCCTTCGGCTGTTGGAGGAGGTGCCGCATATGCACAAAAGTCGTCGTCACAGCGGAGGACCCCGAGACATGCATACCAAATGGTTTTCCAGGGTCCGTCCTTGGTGCCTTTGGTTTTTTGGGTGTGAGTATAGGCGACGTGACCAAAGTTCGTGATGTCGTCGTGAGGCTTCCGGACAAACACCGTCTCGCCATTCGGATAAAGAGGATAACCTTGAGGATCGCGAGTCGTTCCGTGATCGATGAAGGTGACGAGTTCACCCGAGGCTGGCACTGGTAGCTTGAATTTTTTGCCAGTTTTCTTCGGAGGACGTCTCTTCAATTTGGTAGGGGTAGGTTGAGGAGTCTCAGACACATGCGTGACCGTAACGATGGAGTGAGCATCGCTCTGAGTAGCGAGAGGTAAGACCTCTTCAGGTGGAGGGGACACAGATCGCGCGCTTTGGTGATCAGAGTGATGAGACATGATGAGGAGTTTTGGTGAAGTATCAGAGGTAAATGTGAGGTAGTGATAGAGATAATAGAAGGATAGGAACTGATCTAACGGAAATAGCCAATAGTAATAAGCAAGTTGAGAAAATTGATAAGACCGATACAATTGAAAGACTTGATGGCAGTTGTAGATTGAAATGGGTACTCTGGAATCGGAGTCGTACGATTGAGGAGTAGTAGGGACAGCAAGATCAGATAGAATAAATTTGGCCATGTCCAAAGGTGGAATCGGTTGGGGTGACCCATCGAGAAGGCCAGGGGCCTCCTTACGCAGGATGACCAGGGACATCGTGCGTAAGACGAGACGTGTCAAGATATCGAGCCTTCTGAGACTGGCTGTTGGGTAAGAGGGGAGTGGTCGAATCGCGAGAGGTTCTTATAGATGAGCTCGTAGGTTGGTATGATGAGACGGACGGGTGTAATCGGCGGTATTGGTGTTGGTTGACATCGGCAAGGGCTTGATGGATATTGTTGATGTTGTTCGGTGCTGGTGTACTTCGACGAGAGACGGAGGAAAGGTGGATGCATGGTAGAGTTCGCCCTCGTCGACAAAGGTTGGGGCATATTGGCTGCAGGTAGCCGATCGAAAGTTTTGGTAATGCCGTAGCCGCCTTCGCCGATCGGGGGTTAGAAGTATGTAAATTCCTAAGGGTGCAAAACTGAAGATTGTTGGGGACCTTTCAGAAAAATGCACTCCGAGGATTTACGTCCGACAAGGAGTGTGAAGAACTTTGAGGGTAAAATTAGGGTTTTGACCCCTGTAACGATATTTACACCCTGGTTTTTTTACCTACCATAAGGAATGTAAAAAAAAACGTGTAAAATTATACTTCGGGGTCGGGGCCCTACATTTTTACACTCCGGGTTTTACACATCATTATTTTACACACGAGAATTTGGGCGCCTTCGGGTGCAAAATTACATTTCACCCGTGGTGACATGTAGTTTTGCACACAACCGCATTTACACTCCATAAGGAGTGTAAATCGTGGTGTGCAAAAATCTATTGACCCGCAGTTTACTGCGCGAAAATAGCACCTGCGCTGGTCTTTGCGCACCACACTTTTGCGCTAATGTCACTGCGCCACCACGCACCCCAGGGACCTATTGGTTTTTTGGCCACTGCGCCATCGCGCAGTGCAGCCCAGTGCAGCATGCGCACTTTGCGCACTCTGCGCACTTTTTTCAAGGTCCGTGTTTGATCGGAGGCTGAGCCTCCACCAGGTGAGCTCAGCCACTAACAGAACTACTCAAGAGGCTAAGAGCCCCTTGCGTATCAATCTACACTCGATCCATCTTGGATCGTCACGTCGTTGGCAACTCTTGACCGACTTCTTGATGGACTTCCGCATTTGGATGCCCAATGGCGCGTGTCTCGACCTACCTGAGCCTGATTGGGGTTCACAGTCACCCTCATCACCCACCTCCCTGGACTTACTTGAACAAGCCATCGGTTGGACGACTTCTGATTTTCGATCTGATCTAAATATCTCTAGATTCTTATTCACATCTTTCAATTCATCCTATATTTCTGCTTCTCCATCACTTATTTTTATCCAAGTCAGGTTTGAATCGATCACATTCAGAATTATGTTTCACACTTTTTCTTCTCATCGTAACCTCTATAGCTCATTCTTATCTTACAACTCGTACAAACTACATTTCACGATGGCCAAATCATCTTCTAAGAACTTTCAATCTAAGACTACTAGTACCAAGTCCAACCACAAGTCCTCATTGTCGTCGTCGACCACCAAGGTGAAATCCAAGTCTCATAAAACTACAACTGTTATTAATGATGAAGGGGATGAAGATAACGACGCCAGCGAAATTGATCCCGATTATGAGACGGAAACTGAAGATGACAAAAACGAAAACGACAAAGACATCCACGATAACTCCTCCAATAGCACTAAATCTCCGGTTGATGGGAAGCGCAATAGAAAAGCTGAAGATAAGTCAACTGCCAGTAAGAAGAAGAAACCTGCGCCAAAGAGCAAGAAAGGGGTACTTTTTTACATCTTTTCCATCTAATCTTTATGTTTGTTTGAATGTTGATTTTGATTTCCTTCTTTACCACAGAATTACAAACTTCCAAGCAATGTGAACCCGGATCAAGATTCAGATATTGAGGAGATTCCTGGACCTAATTCAACTGTGACACCTGTCGACGATGTCGTTTATGATCATATAAGCCTCTACTTTGAGTCCGAACTTTTTTGGCGAGAAGATAAACAGGTATCTCTTCTAACACTCTTATATCTTATAGCTTTCTATGTTTTTTGGATACAAACCTGATTCCATTTGAACCCACAGAAACCCGGCGAGAAGCCCATGTACCGAAAATGTTTATTCTGTCCGAAATCTTACCGGATTGGTGAAAGGAGCAATTGGAACCTCACGGGCCATCGCGATGGCGACGCGAATCGGTCACAATGCGCTGGACGTGCCGATGCCATTGCCGCTGGTGCTAACTTGCCTTTACCTTGGAAATCTCGGCAAGCTGCGAAGGTGGCTGCACAAGAAGCTGAAAAGCATAAGCACGAGAAAGCATCACTTCAAGGTTTCTTAAACTTACCCAAGTTCTCAGTTGCTCTTCTGAACATGATACTCGTCCTGTGGCTCCTTCGAAACTGCATCCCGTGGCTTCGTATGGAAGACCCATACCTTCAAGCAGCATTTGCACTATGCAACCCCAACGCGACTCTCTGGTCGGCATCATGGTCTGCTCGGCGAGCAATGGAATACTTTGAGGAATTCCGTGGCAACCTCGTTCAAACACTTAAGGTTCTTATTCATTTCTTTTCCTTTTGATATGTATTTAAATACATGTTACTAACGCACCAATCTCTTCTCATAGGGTCTTGACTCTAAAATTTGTGTCATACACGATGTATGGACTACAAAAGGAGGGAAGCGTGCTTTCATTGGTGTAGCCGTTTCTTACATCGATGAAAATTGGGAGTTTCACGTCACCCACCTGACGTTGAAGCTCATAGCATGGAATCATTATGGAGCATTGCTGGCTCGACCAGTCGGCAAGTTCCTTATTCGACATGGTCTTCATAAAAAGATATGTCATCTCTTAATTTTTATATATCTTTTTTTTGATTTTCTTTGTTTTTATGTTTTTATCTAATGGGCTAATATGTTTTTTTCGCGATGACACATGCTTGCTCAGACAACGGACTCGGGATCCAGCAACCCGGTCTTGGCAAAGGAGCTGGAAACGATGTTTATGGAATGCGACAATGGAATTTTTTGGAACTCGTCTCAAAATCAGATCAGATGTTATTGTCACAAGTTGGCATTGACAGTGAAGGCCGGACTTGAGACAATCGGACTAGGTGATCATGGCCGAACCAAACCAACAATCCCCTCTGGAAAACGCCTTAGGTTACTCCTCCCAGACGATCACATCCCTTCACCCAAAATCGTAATGGCCGACGGTACAGTAGTTGACGAAGATGGTGAATTAGAAGAATGCAATAGTGATCGGGAACAAGATCCAACGCTGGAGCCAGGAAAAGATAATGAGGCCAGTGATGACTCAGAGGACGAAGTGAAAGCACCTGACTACAAGGTACAGAAGCCTGATGCTTCTCTCTTACCTTGAGCTGTAACCAAGGTGATTGATGTACCCTCTTCTTTGCATGATTCAAAATCGTGTCACTGATCATGTTCATTTGTACTTAAAGGTTCGAAGAATCAACAAGTTGATAACTTCGAGTGCACCACGACTCAACCACTTCAAAGCATGTGCGACTCAACTGGGATTTGCGGGTGGAGGGCTAATCGCAGCCCATGGTCAGAGGTGGAATATTTGGTTTGATGCTCAAACCCGCTTGTGTAAAGCTAAATCAGTAAGTCTTTTCATCTATCATTGTATTGTGTTTCTACTAGTTTATATTTTCTTTGTGGGTAGGTAATCAACTTCATGATCAATGAAGATTCAGAAGGGTTCTACGAAGGGATTACCATCAGTCCTGAGGAATGGAAAGCGATCGAAGCCTTGAATGATGTGCTGGGGGTAAGTGCATTTGACCCAGATGTTTTGGATATTCCCTACTAAGTTTTCTTTTCTTCCATCCATGGATACAAAGTTTTTTTTGCGATCAACAAAAAAGATGGAAGGTGATGGGCCCACCAGTGCCTCAGTTCTCTTCCAGTACTCTGGATTGATATCGGTCCTTGTCGATACCAAAAACGCTACACCACATCAAGGCTTATCCAACATGATTGGTGGTATGATCAAACAGCTACGCGAATACCAGACGGAGGCACTTTATTGTGATCCGCTTGTAATGGCGGCCATTCTCAATCCCAGACTTCGACTAGAATTCTTCAAAAACAAGTATCCCGATTATTCCGGACACGCCGAAGAACTTTTTCGCCAACACTTCTCTGAGTATTGGAAAAATAATGTCAATTTGGCATCAAAATCCACTGCCGAGGCCGAACCTCAAGCCAATCAACCAATTGATCCATTTGACGAAACAAACATGTTCAGCTCCTCAGTTAAACAAGTTCTGACCAGCGACGAAGAAGTTGATCACTACTTCTCGGGAATGCATCCATGCGAAGGTAATACTGACATATTAGTATGGTGGAGAGTAAGTTTACTCTCCTTATCTTTTCTTTAGCATGACCTTTGACTGACTTCCTTGTCCTCGCAGCGCAATCAAAATCGGTTTCCAAAGATGGCTAAGATGGCTCGGGACTTTTTGGCTTGTGTGGGGTCTTCTTGTGCAGTCGAAAGAACCTTTTCGACTGCAGCAATCGTGTGTGCAAATCGACGAGGTGGCCTATCATCAAGATCCATTGAAAGAGCCGTTGGCATTTGTCACACCTGTGGCTACCCGCCCCTTCGGATACTAGCCGATAGGAAACGGGTCGTTCCTATCGGCGACAAGCCGAAGACCCCCCTTCCGACACGCCGACGCGGCCGCCGCGTCGGATTCACAACTACAAAAACACAAGTTCACACATGAATTTTAACATCGCCAACAGTATCACCACGTAAACATAGTATCAACATACTACTATACACTTGCATACAAAATTACCCAACGATCCAAGATGTTACATAAGAAGCTGTCACACAAGTGTGATCTCCAGTCACACGTGGTGTGAAACTCGGTCACACATGTGTGATTTTGGGTTGAACTTGTGAAATTACGGAATTGTACAACCCCTTTTCACACATGTGTGATTTTTGCCTACACATGTGTGATAGATGGTCACACATGTGTGACTCTTGGTTACCAGTTTTACGGCTGCATATGTACA